CTACTACTACTACTACTACTACTACTACTACTACTACTACTACTACTACTACTACTACTACTACGACGACTACTACTACTACTACTACTACTACTACTACTATTACCGCCCCCACTGCCATTAATCTTGCCACTACTACTGCGGCTGCGACCACTAGTGGCACTACTATTACTACTACTACTGCTACTGCTATCACTACTACTAGTATACCTGTTAACTTTTACTACTAGTAGTATTATTACTACCACGACTAATATTAGTATGGCCCATACTACAACTACTACCATTACTACCAGTACTACCACTATTACTACTACGACCATTATTATTACTACTATTACTACTACAACTCCTACTACTACTACTACTACGACGACTACTACTACGACTACTACTGCTGCTGCTACTACTACGACGACTACTAATACTATTACTTCTACTACTACTACTACTACTACTACTGCTACTACTACTACTGTTACTACTACTACTATTACCACCACCACCACCACCACCACTACTACTACTACTACTACTACTACTACTACTACTACTACTACTACTAGTACGACGACGACGACGACGACGACGACGACGACGACTACTACTACTACTACTACTACTACTACTACTACTAAGATGAGTACGATGAACAAGATTTCTCTAGGACGCGAGAGGGGGATACGAGGAGACGAATCACGACGAGAGGAGAGGGCCGAGAGGAAAGATAGTATGAGACGAGAGGGGGAGGAGGAGGAGGAGGAGGAGGAGGAGGGAGAGGGATGACAATGGACGGTCAATCAATGGTATGCTTTGCTCGCCATGTCAATGTTCGCGCACACCTTTGCGTTGAATTGTGGCGGGGGTCCCGACGCTTTTGTCCATCTCTTACTACTTTCCCGTTCTCTGCCATTTTCCTTCTTTCCGTCCTTTTTATCCCTTCCGTCCTCCTTCCTCGTTTCGCCTCCTCCCCCTCCTCGTTCTCCCTGCTGGCTCCTCCTCAGGCGCGACTCGTTCTCGGGTCGTCATGCGCCAGGGCAAGAACGTTTTTTGATCTGCTCGTCGGTGTGACAAGGGGTGCTGCGGCGCGCCCGTTTGCCTTGAAGGCAGTCCTGCTAGCGTTTTGGCCGGTTGATCTCTGGCCCGCCTAAACAGCTCCAGCTGCCGCCCGGATCCAGGGCACCCCCATGGGATCACACGTAGACTAGGACCCCCTTTGGGCCCCGAAGACCCTCCAGCGAGCGCTGATGTGGAACGATGGCGGTTGGCAAAGCATATGAGACCGACGGAACGGTCAGTGGCCATGCGGGCTCCATTCAAGAGGATAAGAAACACACAGACACAATTAATCCTCGATTCCCCACAAAATATGGGAAATGTGGGAAGTGGGGGGGAAGACATAAACCCAGAACATATGGGAAACTATGGGACGTACTTGTATTTGTGTGTATCTATCTGTGTGTCCCAGGGCCCCGCTCTCGGCGCCCCGCGCCTCGCCGGCACGCCGATGGCATGCTCGGTGACGTGCTCGCCGACGGGGTCGGCGGAGCGCCGCTCTGCGGGGCCCGCGCCCCCCGAGCGGCCCGCGCGCGGCCGCCCGCTGCAGCCGCGCGCGGGGCGCGGGCGGGCCGGGGGGCGAGGCGCCGACGCTGGCGCCGCGGGAGGCCGAGGGGGCCGAGGAGGCCGAGGAGGCCCGAGGAGGCCGAGGGCGAGGCTGGACAGGAGGCCGAGGAGGCCGAGGACACGTGGCCGAGGAGGCCGAGGACACGTGGCCGAGGAGGCCGAGGAGGCCGAGGAGGCGAGGCCGAGGAGGCCGAGGAGGCCGAGGAGGCCGAGGACACGTGACGTGGCCGCGAGATCCAGGATCAGCGTTGCCATGGCTCGGGGACTGGGCCTCGCGGGCAGCTGGTGCGACGGTCGGGAGGGCGCGCCGTCACGCAGAGAGCGGCGTCGGTGATGTGACGCGTGGTCCCCAAGGGTTTACCAGACAGTCCGCCAAGTCACGCGCCAAGCAGATTCCGGATCGGGATGGGGGCGTGGCCGCGATGACGGTGAACCAGTCAAGTTTTTGCGAAGAAGGCCCGCTGCGAGAAATGCTTTGGCCCATTCGCGAGCGCGTGGTTGAGTCGGCTATGCGACGAGGAGTGCCGAATGAAGCCCCAGGAGGCATTGCGTCTTCAGGTCGCCTCCGCGCCTGCGTCTCGCGTCGCCGTCGAGAAGAAGCACCCGTTCGGCCCGGAGATCCGCGAGCCCAGGAGATGGGGCAGAGCTGTTCTGGGCGCGCAACTCGCCAAAAGGACGCACCGCCGCCCAGGAGACCAACGACATCCAGAAAGCAAGTGTCGAAGACCGCTGTGGCTCGGAGATCGCCGGGTAGACTTGCGAGCTCGCTGCCATTATCTCGGAGGGGCGTCGCCGATAGAGTGACGGAGGCAAAACGACGCATTCGCCGACCCAGTCCTGGCAATCCTAAAATGTTTGCGCGGTCTCTGTTCGGGGCCGAAGGAGCTGTTGAGCAACGGCCAGCTACCCGAGCGCGCAGCAACGCCGTGGCGGCCCGCGGCACCATTGACAGGGAGGGTCCGCTTGGCGACCTGCAGATTGGGGATGCCATGAGACAGGTGGCCGAAGGCGAAGGAGGCTGAGCCGCTCAGCGAGCCCTTCGCCCCGACAGCTCCACTTTTTCCTAGGTTGCAGTCGGGGTAATCCTCGAAGGAGGGGAGATGCTAAGCTCGACCTCCCTCGGCAAAGCTTGCGGCCTGAATTGGTTGGCGCGTCCTCGTCGAGAGCGCCCACTGCGCGCGCTGCTTCAGATCTATTCCCCCATGGGGCCGGCGTCGTCCCCGACCCCCCAGGCCCTGCGAAGCCTCGTGTCAGAGCCCCGAATCATCAGGGGTAACTCGGGTCAGGGATAACTCGGGTTCGTTTTTCGGGAATCCAAACCCGAGTTACCCCGGACCCGAATTACCCCGGATAACTCGGGCGTCCAGAGCCCCGAATCATCAGGGGGAACTCGGGTCAGGGCTAACTCGGGTTCCTTTTTCGGGAATCCAAGCCCGAGTTACCCCGGACCCGAGTTACCCTGGATAACTCGGGCGTCCAATCGTGGGCCATGCTTCATCCGCCATGGAGGGCTTTGAGAGACAGTGGAGGCGCCACGCCTACTAGTACAATGTCGATTGGCAGTTTTCGCGCGCGACGACCGCTGGCAGCACGGATGCGGGTCGGCGGCCCCAGAGGCGAGCGCGCGGAGACGCACTTAATTGGTCGTCGACAGGTTCGGCAAGGGTGGATTGCAGGTAGAGTTCACGTTCTCAGAGCTCGCGCCGAACATCTTCGAGAGGAATCGGGGCTGGACAGAACCCCCAACAGTGACACGTCGATTAGTGAATTGTCCGTTTTCGGTTCTCGAGAGGGCGCCGCGGCCGTCATTTTCCAGGCTTGCGCCCGCCAGGTTTGGGCCTCAGGTCGTTTTCACTAAACCACGTTGTGCTAAAGGGTGGTCTGTCCATCCCCGAATGAAGGGTTCTGTCGCAGGTGTGCCACTCATCCTTTTTTCACTGCTCACTTGGTTCCCCGACGAGCGTTGGGGCGCGCTGCGCGGTTGCCTCGGTGCGCGAATGTCGCGGCCGTGCAGCGGTTGTAAGTTTTGTGTTGCGAGGTCGCCGACGTTGGCGCAGCTGTTCCGCTGGGATTCTGCATCAAGTCAACGATGTGGGACGAGGTGTTCCTTGATGCAACCGCTAAGCAGACGCTTTCCCATGCGCCGCCCCCCTCGGCCGTCGATCAGCTCCCGTTCGGGTCTTGCAGGCCCCGCAGCTCCCCGAAGTTTCGCAGGTCGCACAGGTCGCCCAATCCCGCAGGTCGCGCAGTCCCGCAAAACCTACCGATCCCGCAAATCGCCCAGTTTCCGCATGTCTCGCAGGCCCCACAGGTCGCACACGTCCCACGGGCACAAGTCTCACACGCCCCACAGGACCCACAGGGCGGCACGCTACAAAGCACGAGGGAACCGCGCGGGAACCCAACACTTAGGCAGAGTTACCCATCCCCGTGAAAAAGGTGTCGAACAAAAGTGGCACAGGGATGGGAGCCGAACAAAAATTGAATCAGACCAGGCGGGGCCACTCGCATCCAGCGACCGCCGCCCGTCAATGTTGCGGAACAGCGTCCCGTCTGCATGGCGCGCTGCACGTTCGCCAGTCGATTGGTGGGGACGACACCGCAAGGCAAAACGTGGAACCGCCCACGCCAGCGGCCTTGTGAAGGGCACCCAGGCATTGAGCGGCGTCCGCCTTCCAATGCTGGCACTGGGCGCGCAAGCAAAAGCGTGGCATATCAATGACCTGGCCCATGGTGCGCGCCTGCGCGCGCTACCAACGTCGATGGGCGGATATCACTGAATGTTCTCATTTGGGCGTTGCCGTCTGCGGATCATTCACGAAGATCGTCTTGCTGATTTTGCTATAACTTGTTTCCCGGCTGTGTAACCTCCCCCATCGCCCGATGATATGATGTTTTCGCAGTTGTTCGGGGTCTTGGGTTGCAGCTCCCCAGATCAACCGTCGCTTTCTAACACGTGCCCCCCGGGTTTGCCGACCCGGTCCGGGATAGTTGTTGGCAGCTTTGGGGGCTCCGAGCGGCTCTGATGTTGGCCGAATCCGTTGATCTAGAATTTTGGCATGGACATCTGGGTGGAGCAATAATGTTGGCCGCAACCGTGGATGTGACATTGGTGGAAGGCGTTGACATTCGCGGACGAGACGGCGGCGACGACGAATATGACGTTGACGATGACAACGATGATGTCACCCGTCGCTGAGGACGAGGACGAGGAAGGAACAGAAAAAGGAGGAGGAGGAGGAGGAAGAGGAGGAGGAGGAAGAGGAGGAGGAGGAGGAGGAGGACGCGGAGGAGGAGGAGGAGGAGGAGGAGGAGGACGAGGGCGACGACGACGACGAGAGCGACGTGGGGTCGCGCCAGCGCTTGGGCCCCGGGAGGCGGCCGAGTATGCGGCTGGCAAGGAGACGCTGGCGCGCTCGCGTTCCCGCGCCCCGCGGTCCCCGTCGTCACTGGGGGGGGGGGGGGGGGCCCAGCGGTTGCCAGCGCACGCCTGCGCTTAGCCCGCGAGCATCACGCAGCGGCTGCAATCACAGCCTCGGCCATCGGTACCTACGGGATGCCGTCCGCTTCTGTGCCCTCGTCGGGGCCCCCTCGGCGTCACGGCTGGACGCCGCTCGGAAAACGGGTCGGTCAGGTTGGCGCCTGGACGTGGTCCCGAATTGAGCGAAGAGCGCCGCTCCACATGGCGATGCCAGGTCAGTTGTCCCGCGGGGCGGTTGCGCCCTGGAGGCCTAGAGAGGGCCGATCCTTACTCGAAGGATCGCCGTGGGGAGGTCCCCTCTCCTCGACCTGATTTTGGCTGCACATGCCCGATTGCTTACGGATCAAACGTTCTTTGGATTTGAATGTGTTTGTCCCCCTGGGAGGAGGGGCTTACAGCGTTAGCGTAGACTTGTCATCCTCATACCTCCTCTTTCTCCTTCCCGTCGGCTATGCGCGTTCCTCCTACTGGACCCCCTTCTTGACCTGCTTGGCAGAGCCGATCATATTTTTGCGGGAGAGAGGGAGGGGGAGACTTGATGATGTTCTAGGATTGAGGGCTGAAGCTATTGTGCGTTGCTGGCCCCTTTACAGACCTCCGGGGACATCGAGGGAGCTCCCAGAGCTTGCTGGGACACCTCTGGGATTTCTGCTAACCTCTTGGGAAGGGGGCGCGGCTCGAAGCTGCCTTGGTACTGGTGTCCGTGCTAGCGCCCAGGATCGGGATAATTTGCTCCAGAGCGTTCCAGAACGCTCTCAGAGGGTCTCGGAACGCTCCACGGAGTCCGCGGCGCCAGATTCGTTTCTCAGAACCGCCAGATCTCCTATACTTCCGATGTCTCCCGATCTCATTCTGTCGATTTCCGCACTGCTGATCATCGACTGCAGTCTCCCGTTATCCCGCGCAGTCTGTTTGCGGTTGCAGATGTTGGGAGCCTTGTACGTCCTCGCAATTCCGTCTTCAGAGTGCATTGATGCGCGCTAGCGTCTGATGATCGATGAGACAGCGCAGTTAGTAGCCTCGACAAGCGTGGGCTGGCTCCGGTTTAGCGTCGATGAGTGTGGACTTAGCGTCGATTTGCGTCGAGTTAGCGTCTACACGTAAAGCCACTGAGATGGTAGGGGAGGCTCCCATGAGTTGGCGACGGGGAGGTATCAGAAGCCTTCCTGCCTTTGAGAAGCCTTCCCAGAAACCCCAGGCGCCTCTCGCCACTGTTGCGCCTCCCTGCTATTCTTCCTGCCCCTCCTCCTGGGTCAGCTGCTGCATCCTGGAGCCCCCATTCCGATCAGTTGGGGTCAAGTAGGGAGCGAGGCTCCGCGCTGGCCAAAGTCGCCCCTAGATATACCAGGCGCGCTGTGGCGCGCTCAAACCGAGGCTCGAGGCTCCAACCTCCTGGGTCGAAGCTCCAATCTCCATAAGGACACGGCCCTTCGCCTGGCGCTGTTCCACTCAGACGAGGCGTTTCTCAGGTTCAGACTGAAGGAGCCCAAACGCGACCAGAATTGCAAGATTTGGATTACCCGATCGGATTCGAACACGGAAGTGGCGACCCCATACCGGAGGGGTTCCCGCCCGAGAGTCCCTCGCGATTCATTCTCAGACGAGGCTGCAGTTCGAGCCTTCCTCCAGATTCGGGCCTGAAGAGCCCGAACGTGACGACAGGTGCAGGATTTTGGTGACCTGATCTGATTCGAGCATGGAGGTGGGGACCACATACGGGTGTTTTATCGCCGATGCCCCTCGCCGAACCTATCCGTGCAACCGAGTGACCGTGGGATCGCCCTGAAATCCAGACCTCGAGGGCGCGGATACGAATATATGTTCGCCGCTCGTGAACTATCGAAGACGCCTACGGCGAATCACCGCCGCCCCCTGCCTTTTTGGAAGTGCCTATGTGGCCCTATGTGGCCCAACGTCGAGGCCAGACCTGCCAAGCTATCGGACCACGTGTTCCCCGAATCGGTTTGGAAAGCCTTCGGGAAACACGTGGGCATCTTGAAGGTCATCTTGGCCGTCTGGAAGCCATTTTGACCCTTCCGGGCCTCCTTCGAGGACGTCTTGGAGGGCTCTTCGGCCGTCTTAGAGGCCATCTTGAGCGTCTTGGAGACCTCTTGGGCCGTCTTGGGGGCCTCTTGGGGCCGTGTCTTGGGCCTCTTGGGCGATCTTTGGGGGCACTTGAGCCGTCTCGGGCCGTCGGAAGGCCGAACAAAACGCAAATGCCACAATCCTTCAAAAACCCATGGGAAATCAATGATGTTGGCCTTTTCGGGCCTTCCTGGAGGCCCTCTTGGAGGCCGTCTTGGGCCATCTTGGGCCATGTTCGGCCGTCTTGGTGGGCTCCTGGTCCGTCTGACGCCGTCGGAAGCCGTTTGGGGGGCCTCTATGGGCCGACTTGGGGCCCTCTTGGAATGCTCCAGGGCCGTCTTGGAGGCCATCTTGGGCGTCTTAAAGGCATCCTGTGCCGTCTGGGGGGCGTCTTGGGGCCCTCTTGGGCCGTTCTGGGGCCATCTTGGAGGCCTCTTGGGCGATCTTTCGGCGATCTTTGGGGGCTCTTGGGCCGTCTCGGGCCGTCGGAAGGCCGAAAAGAAGCGAATGCAAAAATCCGTCAATAACCTTAGGAACATCAAGGTTTTTGGCCTCTTCTGGCCTTCCTGGGGGCCCTCTTGGGGGCCTCCTGGGCCGTCTTGGGCCAGCTTCGAGCCAACTTCGGCCATATTGGTGGGTTCCTGGCACGTCTGACGCCGTCGGGAGCTGTCTTGGGGGCCTTTCTGGGCCAACTTGGGGCCATCTTGGGGCGCTTCGGGGCCGTCTTGGAGGCCATCTTGGGCGTCTTGGAGGCCATCGTGGGCGTCTTGGAGGCCTCTTGGGCCGTCTTCAAGCCCTCTTGGGGCCGGCGTGGGAGCCTCTTGGGCCGTAATGAGGCCATCTTGGAGGCCTCTTGTGCGATCTTGGGGGCCTCTTGGGCCGTCTTGGGCCTCCAGGAAAGCCGAAAAGGCGCAAATGCCACAATCTTTCAAAAACCCAACGGAAATCAACGGATGTTGGTCTCTTCGGGCCTTCCTGGAGGACCTCTTGGAGGCCTCGTGGGCCGTCTTGGAGGCCTCTTGAGGGCCTCTTGGGCCATCTTGAGGCTATCTTAGGCCGTCTTGGGTGCCTCTTGGACCGTCTTGGAGGCATCTTGGGGCCATCTTAGCCGTCTCGGAGGGCATCTTGGCCGTCTTGGAGGCATCCTGGAGGCCATCTTGGGACATCTTGGAGCCGTCTGGAACGGAAAAACCCTTTGCAACTACCTCTGGAAGATCTTTCGGCATCCTCCGGGGACCCTGGCGGGACGCGCAGGAGCCCACTGGGGGAGTTCTTTTGGAAAAAACAAAACCAAAACCGTAAGAAGTTCAGCACGCCAGGCACCCTTGTGATGAGTCAACAGTGGGCGGCGGATCGAGTGGCCTTCGGCCCATCCCGCCACCGTGCCTTGGTTGTAAGCCATGGGCCTCTTGGGAAGCTCCCAGGAGCTCCGAGGAGCTCTTGGCAGCAGCTGGAAAACCGGGGGCCCTGGCCCTTCAGGGCTGCAGGGCTGCATGAGCCTTGGTGCACTACGCTTCGGGAGAAGGCGCGTGTGTGCTGTATGCGTGTGTGCGTGTGTGTGTGTGTGTGTGTGTGTATGTGTGTGTGTGTGTGTGTTCGTGTGCGCGTGTGTGCGTGTGTGTGTGCGCGCGTGTGTGTGCAGCTCCCAATCTGGGCAGGAGGGAGTCTAGGGAGCGGGGGGAGCTCGTCTGCGCCCGAGGCTCTGTGGTCCGCCGCTGACCAGCCTCCCTCCCCTCGCGCTCGGCACACCGAGTTGTTGGCCGGAACCTCCTGGCTGCAGCCTGGCCGCCAATAGCTGGTGCATCTCTTTCTCTCTCTCGCTTTCTCCCTTGCGCTCTTGTTTTCGGGCGTAGCCCGAATTTGATTTTTGCGAGGTAAACTGACTGAACTGAACTGACTGGTCGCACCCGTTACGCGACGGTTCATTCTCGGCCGCCAAGGGCGCAACCTATGGCGCAACTGATAGGAGAGGGCTATATTTTCGGCCGCCGAGGGCATAACCTATGGCGCAACCGATAAGAGACGGTTGTTATTCTCGGCCGCCGAGGGCGCAAGCCATGGCGCAAGCGATAGGAGACGGTTATTATTCTCGGCCGCCGAGGGCGCAAGCCATGGCGCAATTGGTAGGAGACGGTTTTATTCTCAGCCGCCGAGGGCGCAACCTATGGCGCGACCGATAGGAGACGGTTTTATTCTCAGCCGCCGAGGGCGCAATCTTTGGCACAACCGATAGGAAACCGAGCTGGAGCAGAAGGAAGGCGAGGAATACGAGGAGGATGAGGCGGAGGACGAGGAGGAGGACGACGACGACGATCAGGATGGGAAGGAGGACGGGGAGGAATACGAGTAGTACGAGGACGAAGTGTGGGCATTCGAATGCGTGCGGGGCTACGCCCGATTTATGCTCCCCAAGCGGCGAGCCGTCTTGTGACTATGTGTTTTGCTGTTTGTTGTTTTTTGTTGTTTTTCTCTCTCTCTCTCTCTCTATCCTCTCTTTCTCTCCCGCACACACACACACACGCACACTCTCGCTCTCTCTCTCTCTCTTTCTCCTCCCGTACCCATGGGGGGAATTGGTTGCAGCCGAGGGGTCCAGATCGCGAGGCTGCGGACATGGATGTGCTTTCCCCGCTGGCAATCTTCCACCTCCACATCTTTCAGACGTCATAGTTGAGCGAATCGGTCGGGTTGCGCCGTGTGCTCGACCCTCGCATCACCAGGAAGCGCTGGTTGGGTTGGCGCCGTGATTTACATCGGGTGTTTCATGTGTGCGTGCGCGTAATACCTGTCGTTGAGCAATCGCCATAACATGTTGCGGCTCGTACCATTCGGGACCAGGTCGCGAACCATAGGTGCAGCTGATGTAGGTTACGGCTGCCACGTTGTGTTACCCTGAGTTGTTGTGCCGACTTGAGTATAGCCCGACTTCTCTTCTTCCGCCCCCTCTCAACCTGCCTGATTCCTCCTAGGAGCTGAAGTACGGCTGCATCGATGGCTGGTGTGGCGTCTGTTGGTTCACACGGGGGTCGGGAGACGCACGGGTAGAGTGAGTTTGACGGAGAGGCATTTTGGCAGTTGCCTTTTGCGACCCCCATTGTGTCTTGTTGTCTGTTTTTGTTCCACGCCACCCCCTCCCTGCACACTCACAATTTCTCGACCCCTTCTCCCCCTTCTTCTCTTCTCCCCTCACTCCCTCACCGCTTTACCCTCCTCCTGACCTCCCCCCTTCCCCCCCCCATCATCCACTCCCTGCACCCCCCCCCCACTCCGGTTTCTCACCACCCTTCGCTTTCTCTCTGCCCCGACCCCATCTCTTCCCGCCTCCCAGTCCCCGGCCCCTCCCCCCCCCTCCCTTCCCACCCTCCTCCGCAGCGTCTGCCCCGTTCCCCGTCTGCCACGGGAGGGGGCGACAGGCACGAGGTTGGAGTCGCGGCAGCAAGAGGGAGGAGCGGGGGCCACGATCGCGAGATGCATGGAGGCAGTGAGGACGGACGAGGAGGCGTGCGCGGCGGGGAGGCACGTGGGGAGGTGGTGAGGGGGGCGGGAGGATGAGGATTCGGGAGGAGCAGAGGCGAGAGAGGGAGGAGGTGGAGCGGGAGGGCAGCAGGAGGAGAAGGAGGAGACGGTGGAGGAGGGATCCCCTCGCCGAGCCGAGCCCCCTCGCTGCCACCGCAACAGGTGCATCGGCCGTCTGCTCGACAGGCCTCAGGGTGCCTTTGGTTTATTCGCGCCGCGTGTTGCGCGATGGGTTATCGCGGTTGCCAGGAAATTTTCGTGTCCAGGATGCCCTGGGTTGCTTCACAGTTGCATTTCGGGCAATGAAACGGCCCGCTACCGAAGAACCCTCCAGGTGCCAAAGGCCCCTTGAGTTGCTTGCGTCCTCGCGACAATACAGCATTCCCCGGGAACGCGTGCGAGCGCGCGTGCGCCCTGGCTTGATAGGGTTTGCGTTGTCAGCATTGGCTGTGCGTGGCCCAGAATAGACGAGTCGCTAAGTTGGCCTGGAAACTAGAGTCAACCCTTAACGGTGACCGATTGGATTTATAAGTTCACATGGGTAAACATTATCTTCTGTGGAGAATGCAGCACTCCCCGCGCACGCGGGCGCGCGCGCGCATGCGCGCGCACTCGCCGCGTGCCCTGGCCCGATACGGTCTGCATCGTCAGAACAGGCTCTGTATTCGCCAGAACAGAAAAATCGCCATGTTGGCCTGAGCACGAAAGTCCACCCTTAACGGTGACCGATTGGATTTTGAAGTTAACACGGGCTCTTGTGAACGTTATCTGTTGTGGGCAATGCAGCACTCCCCGCGCACGCGGCGCGCGCGCGTATCCGCGTGTATGCGCCATGTGCCCTAGCTTGCTAAGGTTTGCATTGCCAGCGTAAATCGGTTTTGTATTTTCCAGAATGTAGAAAATCGTCATGTTCGCTTGGAAATTAAAGTCAACCCTTGACGGTGACCATTTGGATTTTGACGTCAACGTGGGTTTTTGTAAGTGTTTTCTACAGTGGGCAACGCAGCGCTCCCCGCGCACGTGGGCGCGCGCGCGTACGCGCGCGTATGCGAGAGTACGCGCCGTGTGCCCTGGCCGATTAAGGTTTGCACTGTCAGCATTGATTCTGTATTGTCCAGGATGCAAAAGTCGCCATGCGTTTCTTTCCAAACCGTGCTGGCGTATTCTATGAGCGCGGCCTGCTAAGAAACTGTTCGGGCCAGGGCCCCTCTGGGTTTCTCTGTGTGACGCCGTCGGTTAAGAAACCCACGCCCTGCGCAAGAAACTTTGCGGCTTTTCAGGGTTCGGTTTCTTGCGATGGTTTCTTGTGGCCGCGCCCCCACTGTATGGGGGGTTTCTTCAGCCCCCACGTCAGTCAGAGCAGGCATCGCGATGAAAAGTTTGCCCTGGGGGACCCGCAGTGAAAACATCAGGATATCGGATGCCTGCGAGGGAGGGCAGTAAGTGTCATCTCCTCCTCTTCCTCCTCCTCCTTCTCCCGCTCCCCCTCTTCCCGTCAACTGCTGAAGAGGAGGAGAGGGAACATGGTTTTCCCCATCCTTTCCACCCTCCTCCCAACCTCGTCCCTGGGGACGGGGACGGCTCTCTATGGTCTATGGCCCATTCGACCAGGGTCATTATCCATGGCCCACGGAGCCCGACAAAGCTGTTCTCGGACGAGCGGGATCGTCGGACATGTTCGCCGCTCGTGAGGTGGTGTTGGCTTGCGCCCTTCGCCGTCCCTGCCATCCCTCGCTGGGCGCCGGCTCGCTTGCGCGCGGACGCGGGGAAGGCACCGCGAGCGAGCGACGGACGGCATCTTCAAGCCCTGCTGCGACGTGCTGACGGCCGATTGGGACCGCGCGCCCCGTTCAGGGGAACGTAAGGTTCGAGCTCGATGGAGCTCGGGTCTGCCGATTCCCTTTGGCGGGCCCATCCTGGATTTTGGCGGTCCGGCTTTCGTGGGATGTTTGCAGCGGAGTCTCGCGTCAAATTACATATTGGGTCTCGTCATTTTCTTGACGACCACGTCAGGTCAACCCGTACCCTCCTAACCCGAGTCTCAACTCTCCCCGGCCTGTTGCGATCAGGTTCGTGGACGTTCCCCAACCCGTGCCCGCCAGTTGTCTCCAGTGGGTTCCCGCCGCCGTCCCTCTTATCCCTATCCCTCCTATCCCTAAGCTGTGATCTTAACGCTTCGAGTATCCCCGCCAGCCCATTCAGGAACGATGCCCAGGGGGGCCTCTTGGGGTTCTCTCGGGACTATCTTGGGGCCCCTTTGGGGCTCTCTGGTGGGTCTTGGAGCCTTCTTGGAGCCATCTCTGGGGCTTCTTGGAAGCTTCGGAGGGTCTCTTGGGGCAATCTTGAAGGCCGAGGGGGGGATCCCTTATCTAGACCCTCCCTTCAGGAGCCCTCAAACCGTCACGTGCGGCCCGGCCAGGGTTGGGGCGCTCTTGGGGCTGTTGGGCCGTTTGGCGGGCTTCTTGGGGCCATCTTGAGGCCTCAGAAGCCCATTGGACGCGAATAGGCGAGAAGGCATACCTCATTGAGTGTCGCGTGGATTTCGAAGGATTCGGGACTCTGCGGGGTCCTTGGGTGGCTCCGGGAGCACTTGGAGCCGTCTTGTGGCCATCTTTTGGCCTCTTGGAGGCGTGTCGGAGTCTATGTTGAACCATCTTCGGCTATCTTGAGCCCTCTTGGAGCCATCTTGGGCGAAACAGGACCTTTGACACCTCTGTCCCCCTCCCATTTCAGGCCCCTGGGAGGGGGTAGAGGAAGGAGTAAACCGTCAAACCCTCCCCGAAGGGGAAGAAGGATGTAGTGGAAGAGAAAGGAAGTGCCTTGTTAGACCACCTACACCCAGAAGGCTGGTGGGATTCCAACTCCAATTTATATATTCCTAGCGATATATCCCTGCCCCTATCTCTATCACGATTCCCCCATTTTGGAGACCGTGACCCCCCATCGCGATCCCCATCTGAACTTTGTGAAGCTGTTGAGGGTCGTCTGCCACAAGGGTGTCATTCTCCTCGCGTTGCGGCGTTCAGAAGCCCACTTCGGGCCCAAGAACCGCCGAACATAGATCCGCTAACCCGTCGCTAGAGTGGTCTTTGGTATGGGCGTGGGCCCACAGAGGTCCCCCTACACTGGCTTGCGTGCTTGGATTTGGCATCTCCGTGGCCGTCTGAAGCCACGCACCAAACGCCACTCTTCCCCAGGGCCACTCTCGCGGCGTGGCCGTCTTTGGGCTGTCGTGGGGTTGTGGGGCTCTTTTGGAACCCTTCCGAGGCTATATTTGTCGTCTTGGGGCTCTCTTGGGTCGTCTTAGTGGCCTTCTCGGGGGAGTCTCTCGGGCTTTGTTAAAGTTGTTTGGGGCCCTTCCTGGGAATATTGGTGCCCTCTGGGGTTGACATGGGGCCCAGGTCAGCCCCAGAGACTTGGGTCCTAGACCTGTCTTGGGCCGTCTATGGGGCGCCCTGAGGTTGTCCTGGTCCGTCTGGGAGGCTTCTGGATGTGTCACATCGCGTTACGAGGGAGAGGGCGGCCTCGATAACAGACGTTATCGCTTGTGAGTGGCCGAGATGTTCTCCGAACTCTACCTTGTTCTCCACACTCTACCTCGTCCTCCGAGCTCTTCGAAGCGAGGCTCGGCGTTGGTGTTTCCCTGGTGCCTATCGACTCTCGACCCCATCGTCGTGCTTGAATGTGCTGGATCTGCTTCAAGAGTGCGACTTGGGAATCTAACGACAGCGCGCGAAAAGAACGGGACACATTCAGAATGAACGAAAACACGTTCCACGCCAGGCCGTCGCCAGACGCAGCGTCCCCGACGAGCTCATCGGCGAGCTGATCTCCCGACCCCCCCAATTCTGATTCCCCCTTGATGCGAAGCTCCGAAATGTTTTCTGGCCTGCGCCTCGCCGTGGCATGCAGGTTTGGCACGGGCCTCGTCCCCCGACCTCTGGTGCTCCGTAAGAGGCCTCACTTCTCGAACGCAATCAGGAGGATGTCTGGTTTGATCGGCCTGTCGAAAGTGTGCGCGTCTTCGACCCCTTAACCGCGTCGTCGCCCGTCCCCTGCGGCTCTCTCTCTCTGGCGCACTCGGGCTTCCGCGGCGCCCGCTACGAGCCCCAGACTCCCGCCGGACCTCGGAGATCCCCGATGACCGCATTCTGCCCCCATCCTGAGTGGGAGGAGGAGGGCGCCTGGCCCGCTGGACTGGCCAGGACAACGTCATGCCCCTGGTGCTCACCCCCAAGCCCGAGAGGGCTGGCGACTCCACCTTCCTCAACCCGCGCGGCACATGAGGACCGCTGTGCCCCCCGCGCCGCCAGACCGAGGACCGGAGGGCGCCACGCACGCCAATCATGGACGGACCAGCCAGAGGCCACGGATCCGTGCACCTTGAGGTTCCGGCGTCGTGGACATGCGGCTGGCGTCTTCGTGGACACGGGCAGGGCCCTCACGGACCGATCTGTCTCGAGAAAGCCGCGTGAGGGATTGCATCGGGAGTTCTGGCCGTGAGGTTCTCTTGGCGCTTCGACTTTTGTTCACACCCTCGGGCGTCGTGGCACTTGCCCGGGCCAGGAGGGCGCATCCACCCTCCTTGGGGCCAGGATCGGCCTCGCCAGGCTCGGCGGTGTAATGTAACCCCTTGAATCGTAAAGGGCCCCTCCGCGTCCTCTCCAGGTGGCGAAAGATTTATGATTCTTTCCCCCGGGGATGTTTGTCGCCGTCGGTCATCTTCAGCCGTCGGCCGTCGGCCGGATGCCGGACGCTGTCGTCGTTCGCCGACCCGACCAGGATAGACAACATGATGACCTGGGCCCTGGCAGTTTGAAATTCGTTTCGAGAATCGAGTTTTTGAGCCACTGGAGAAGCTGATGTATGATCACTTGTTCTGTGCTACTTTCATTGCTGTGTGAGCTTCCAGGAACGGCGTAGAGGGCTGCGCAGGACCCTAAACGTCCCTGCAAGGCTGTTCGCAAGGTTTCTGAGCCCCTCCTGCCAGGGGGCCTCCAGGGGCTCTCCAGCCCTGTGGGTGCACTATTTCAAGCGCCCTTGGAAGCGGTAAGTCGGGCCTTGGATGCGGTTTCAAGCGCCTTGGGAAGCGGGGAAACGGTTTCAAGCGCTTTGGGAAGCGGTAGACCAGGCCGTGGGTACACTTTCAAGCGCCTTGGGAAGTTGTAAAGCAGGCATTGAATATGTTCTCTAGCTTCGCGGGAGCGGTAAACCAGACACCTTGGGAAGCAGTAAATCAGGACGTGAATATGGTTGCAAGAGCCCATGGAAGCGGAACTCCAGAGCCCAGAATGAGTGACATTTGGTCCTCGAATGCTTGAAACAAGGGCCCAGAAGGTTTGAAACGGGCCTGGGGCCCAGATCCCGGATTCCAGGTTCCGACGCAGCCGGTGCTCCAGCTCCAGCCCGGCCTTGATTTTGGCCCTGGCCTCGGCTCTGGCTCAATCGAAAGTAGTATGTAGAGACTTGTTTTGTCAGATGCACTTCTGGAAAATTCTTACAGGATTACACTCTCGCCCAGACAAGCGGCCACTCGCCCTCTCCTCCTTCTCCTCCTCTCCTGTCCTCATTTCGTTTATTTTCCAATGATATGCTGTCTTTGTCTCTTTCTTTCTTTTCGGGGCAGTCTTCCGAGTGGGCTGCATCTGCCAGTCACAGCAGACAGGCAGCCGGGGCTGCAAAATTCAGGAGCAAGTTTTACCTGTGAAACAGGAAGGCGTATTTTGTGCCATAGGTTTTGCATGTGTTGTGTACCCAAGGTGTCCGATGTAACTCGACACTTTGGCTCAAACATTTGCATGCGCTTGCTGCTGCCACACGGAGGCGTTCTGAGGCGGGTTCCGCTTTGTGTCCCCTGGGGGGCCCTCCTCGGGCTTCCATGGTGGCCTAGGGGAGGCCCTGGGTTGCAGGGCCCGTGTCCCTCAGTGCGCAGGGGGGGGGGCGATGACCATGAAAATCAAAGGTCCTCAGGGAGAGGCGTCCTAAGGCGATTACTGCTTCAGGTCCCCTGGGGCCCCCCTCGGGCCTCCATGGTGGTCCCAGGGGATCGCAGGCGATTTTCTCCCCCAGCCGCCAATTTGTCTACGAAAAATGAAGCCACTCAGAAAGGGAAGGGAACCTTCTGATACACCCCAATGGGGCGAATCGGTTGCACCAGTATCGAGGATGGACGCCCCCCCTCGTACATCCCAGGTTTAGGCCCTAATTTTCGGCTCATTCGGATTCGGAACCCCCACGAAGCCTGGGATAAGGGTCGGCGTATCTCCTGTTAGGGGAGGCCCTGGGGTCCAGGACCCGTTTCCATCGGTACTTGTTCTTATCGCGCCATGCCAAAAGGCGAACATCTTGAGTCGGAGGCAGTGAGCGGGAACGGGGAGGGGTCGACATTTGCAGCACGCAGCTGGTCGTGGCCCCGCCCCAGGGCGGCTTTCTCGATACGTCGTCGACTGGCGCCGAGAGGCGCCCTGACAATCAGCTGCACGCAGCTGATTCGCTAGCCATCCCTTTCGTCCGCCTCAACGGTTTACTACAGTTGAAACCGATAGTAAGGACATGTAATTTTCCCAAGGTACCCTTGCATCCTTGCCTCCTCGGTCTTTTTTCGATGCGCGGCCCTGCTCGAAAAGCTTCGACATGGGCGCCCAAGGGGCTTGCATCCTTACCGTGCATCCCCTGAGATCTGATGTGGCGAAGAACGTGTAACATCGTGGCAAATCACGACCGGAGCTCGATCTGTGAGGGTCCCGGGGCCCGAAAACGAGGCAACACGCCCAGGGTGAAAAATTTACAACGCCCCAATCTCGGTGTTTTTATTACGTTTGCATTCCAGCCACAATTCTACACCCACGCGTTCTGAGCTTACGGCCTCCTGCGCCCTGCCCAGAAGGGCACGTGTACTTCGGTGCCCGGCACTGGTGCCGCTCCGTTCCGCTCCGCGCCCTCGTCCGCCCCCCCGGCCATCGTCGGTGTGTCCGTTGCTCGGGCGCCATTGCCTCCCTTGTCGCCACGTCCCGCCAGTGGCACCATCCCAGTGTGCCGCCATCTCGATGGCGCTTGGGCGTCGCTTGCTTACTGGGGGGGCGACGAATGGAAGGTGCACTTTGCGGGCCCCAAAGGCCCCCTTTGGGGCCTCAAAGGGCCTCCTTATGGGCTCCAGGCCCTGGAGGGCCCCTTTTCTGCAGCCCTCGCTGCCCCCCCCGCAATTGACCGCCCCCTCCTTTAGCGTTGCCCGAGGCGCGGCGGTTCTCTCGCCAGGCAGCCCCGTGCGCAGCCGTCGGGCTGCTGGCTTGGGCCAGTCCCAGGAGGTGCCTCGAGAGAGTTTGCTCCTTTGCGGGGCTCGCAATCGGTTGTACTCTCGGCCTTCTCGCACTCATCCTCTCCCTCCTTTCTCTCCTCTCGCCCTTCTCTCCTCGCGAGTATCCCGTCCCTTTTGCGTTCTTGTCAACCACTTCCGCGCCCATCATCGCTCTGCCACCTCCCTCCTTCCGCCTACTCCTCCTCCTCTTCCTCCTCCTCTTCTTCCTCCTCCTCCTCTTCTTCCTCCTCCTCCTCCTCCTCATCCTCCTCCGCCTCCTCCTCCTCCTCCTCCTCCTCCTCCTCCTCCTCCTCCCCCCTCCTCCTCCCCCCGCTCCCTCTCCTCCGTCCTTCCTCATCCTCCTCCTCCTCCTCCTCCTCCTCGTCCCTCGTCCCTCCTACCTCCTCGCTTCTTGCCCCTCCCTCCTCCCCTCCCCTCCTCCCCTCCCCTTCCTCATCTTCCTGCTCCTTCCTTCATATTTTCGTTCCCTTCTCCCTCTTCATCCATCCTTTTCCTCCTGTCTCATCCGTCCTCGTTGTCCTCCCTTTCTGTAAACGCGTGATGGTTATTATCCCCTCTCGTCTATGTCCTCCATCCTCGTCCTGATCCTCCCTCGACCTCCACCGCCCTCATCCATCCTCATCCCTCATCACCCTACATTATCATCCCTCATCCTCCTCATCCATCCCGCCTCGTCCTTCTCCCTCGTCTGTCCTCCGTCCTTCGCCCCCTTTCCAAGCTTCCCTTGGTCCCTCCTCCCTCCTCGCTCCTCCCCCCTCCTCCCTCCCCCCCCCCCCCTCAGCCCTTCGCCTCCTCTCCTCCCTTCTCCTTCCCCCTCCCCGCTCCCTCCCCCCCCCCCCCGCCCCGCCAGGAACGCTGGGCCGTGCAGACCTCGGCCCGGGGTCCGAGCTGCGTCGCGCTGCCCGGGGCGGTTTGCCCGTCATGCACGTTTCCCCTGCGATCCCGGAGAGGCTCGCGCCACCCCTCGTCGGGAGCCTCGAGACGGGGGTCAGTGCAAACGGGGGTCAGCCAGGGCACCAGATCCTGCAGGATCCTGCGAAGGCCCCCTCTGGCTGACCCGGGTTAGCGAGCCGCTCGTGGCCGCGAGGCGGCCGCGCCTATTGACTGGCCCGGGTTTGCGAAGATTTGCGTTGTTGTGTTTGTTTTCCTGCATTGCAGTTTTTGGTTTCTTGCTGACCCCGGTCTGGATTGACCCGAGTCAGAAGATCCCCGACCTCGGAGCTTCTGGGCCTCCAAGGAAGGGTCGGAGTGGCTGGGGCCGAAGGATCACGCAGCATCGCCGATGCGTCGGCGATGGGGCTGGATGTGGAGGCAGAGTTTCTCCGTGCCGATGTCGCCGATGTATCGGTGACGCATCGACGATGCATCACCGATGCATCGACGATGTGGCGCGGTCCTCCGGTCCTATCTACTCTGACCCCATCTGGGATGCCTCTGGAGTCTCTTCCCTCCCTCGGTTGCCTCGAGAGGTAGGTATGCATAGGGGGACTGCTGTTCTGCGGACTGCTGTCTTCTGGTTTCTCCGACGAGGGTTCGACGCGGGTTTGAAGATTTGACGTGTATCCGACACGGGCTCGACGCAGACAGCGGCTTGATGGGACAAGCAACGCCCGTCGAGCATGCAGCATAACGGGGGAGGGGGCCGTGGATCGAGGATCCAGATGTGGGACATCGTTTGACCACGTTGGGCCTGGGAAGACGGCTGGGGTCTCCAGGGACTTCTGGGGACCTCCTCCTCCCTCACGTCGGGCGTCCTCCTCCGCATCCTCCCCGCCCCCAGCAGGGGTGAGTCGTGACGATGCCCTTGGTCCGGGACCCCTGGAGAGGGGGGAATCGGACGAGGGCGACGGCCGATAATTTCACGCTTTGTCACCCATGGCAGGTGGGTGTCGGCGGATTTTCGTCATCGAGTGGCAGAGGGCGCTCGACACCCCATTTGAATTTGAGTTCTCGCGGTCGCAGACCGCCCTG